AGAAGGGAAAAGTCTAGAACTGGATATGACTAAAGTGATTAAGCAATTGTCGAGGACAATCTGAGGTTCACCAAAGATTGGTTGCTCAGGGAAAGTTGGAAGTATGATGTAAGTTGTCGGAAAGGACCATATTGACATATTCTGACAAGAAGTAACTCTTGTTCGGAAGAGATAGTCAAAATGAGACTATGGAAATGTCTCCATAGGTGGAAGTTATTCAATCTATGTAAGATTAGAAAACCTTAATGCAAGAAGATGTTCAAAGCAATGTACTTGAATATGAGACTTCCGTTCCATAGAAGTTGACCTTCTTTGGAATACTCTGTATGACTGGTGACAAGGTTTTGGTGACTTTGTGATAATCATTACAAGAGGAACATTGCATAAAAGTTTAAAATCTAACATATTTTTGGTAAATGATAGGAATCGGGGATTCTCACATTTACAATAAGGATTTGGGATTGTGAAATGAGTATCATTGGAATCATGTTCAATTGATCTACATCACAATGTAAGGATCATAGACAAACATAGTGTGCATACTTGGAGTATGGCATAACTATTGTTTAGAAAAACAAAGTGTACATGCTAGGAGCATGGACGACTATTTTTTTATTCAAGTTTAAGTTAATTGTTTGAAACATTATACAATGAATAATGTGTAATCAATATGGTGATAAATAAAAGGTGTGTCTATTTATATTCAAAAGGGTTCTGAGACCATATTGGATTCGATTATTATTGTGTTTCACTTTGCATGTTTTGACTTCCAAAATAGCTAGGTTATTCTTTCCGAATGACTAAGTTATTTAAACACTCCACAGTCGTCATATGGAAGTAGGTATGAATCAAGACTTGTCATGAATCGGGTTTGTAGATGGCTAAAGGTGTTTAGATAGCAATGGTTGCTACAACATTCATGAGTGCTCATAAGTTATGAGTATTGGAATAAACCCACGCTCACTTGTATCACTTCATGGAATTTATCTCGAGTGATCGTGAGACGGTAATATCATATAAATCTTCAAACCTAGAGATATGAGTTGTTACCTATGAGTTGGTTGTGCATTGATTGCACGTAAACGCATCAGTAACTTGATGTTATAAAACGTGCCTTTGTGTACAATTCAACAAGTAGTAGAACAAGCATATGAGTCGAAGTTTATCTGTTCCTTCTAGAAATAGAAGCGATATCTGGGCCCCTCGATGATTTTGTTGTGACCCATGTACCGGCCCGGTCAGAACTAAATTGATGTGTTCAGTTAAGTTCTTTGTCAAACAAATCGGAAATCGAGAAACAACTGCCAGACAATAAGTAAGACATTGTTCCATGTATTTGTCCGGCTGATATCATGAGAACAGAGGATTATATGATCACTTATCTAAAATGACGCTTCATAGTTCAACAGAGTTTTCGAGAGCTACGATTGCTGGTTGGTTCCTGAAGTAACATACACAAACATAGTTATTAGACTTATCCAAGTGGGAGTTTGTTGGATAAGGTGTCTAAATCCATAACTTATTTGGTACATACTTGACCCACCCGACATGGTCCATTTGGGTTGCATTTCATCCAAACTATTTATGGATAATTTTATGAGAGTTATACACATATGTTTATTAATATATTGTAAGTTATAATATATTAATATGAAGTTATTTAATTAGTGTTAGTCTTAAATTAATTATGAATTAATTTAGAGATTAAAAGGAAGACTAATTAAATTGTGGGCTATTATATTTTATATAGTGTGGGCTAATACTCATTTGTTAATGGGCTAAGCTAATATGGAAGTCCATGGATGATCCATGGAGCTTTTAACCCATGGATCCTTGGAAAAGGAAAGGTCATGGGTTATTAGGGTTTCACCCTAATCATGTACACTATATAAGCATGCTTATATTGCATGAAATAGCCACTAGTGTCACTAGAGTATGTGTGTTTGTGTGTGGCCGATTTTATAAGTGTGTATACACTCTCTCAAAGTTTTCCAAGAGTTTGTGGTGATTTGTGATTCCATTTGAGGCATTCACACTATTGGTGCTTGGCCCTCAAACTCCTTAGGAATCAAACTCATCATCAAAAGGTATGTAATCTCATCTAATTCTTTTATGTTTAAAAGTACCCCATGCCATGTTAGATAGGTTATGAACCTTGGAAAAATTATTATTTTGCATGTATTTAGACACACATAGATCCAAGGTTTATTAGGGTTGCATGCACACTTAGGAAGTGTTAGATTTCTCAAAACCCAACAAAAAGATCATGTAGAGGATGGGAATATTGAAGTTCATTTTGTGAAAACAAATGATAAGTTAGCTGATATTTTCACAAAAGCACTAGATGAAAACCCATTTGTGAGGATTTTGGAAGGACTTGGAATGATTGATGGTAATTCAATTTCATACGAAAAAGGAGATTGAAGGTTTTATAATAATATTTCACAGATACATCATCAAAGGATAAGGTTACTGTTCATAAGTCACTCTTCGTATGCTTCGAATTCGTATGATTGGTATTTTCCATCACATCTTAAAACTTCATAGGTTTACAATGAGTACTTTTTTTTATTTTGTTCTTGTTCTTTCTTTTCGAAAAATCAAAAACATAAAAAAATATTTTCATTTTCTTTTGTTCTTTATTTTCGAAAAATCAAAAACAAGAAAAAGATTTTATATTTTTTTTCTTCTTCATTTAAGTAATTTGTTGCAGATCTTTTTGAACGAATGAAGAGGCACATGCTTGCAGATCTAGGTTCAAGTAAATGAATCTTTCAACTCTTTACATTTTATTTACTTTGAACTAGTTAAGATGTCCCTAGAAGCATGCTGCTGCATGTTGTCCAAAGCCTACAATGACTCAATGTGTGTGTACGAAAGCCTTAATGAACTTTTCATACGAAAATTTCTTCCCAATCAGGCTTGTATTCACATTAGTCTCATGAGCTACCTGACTCTTCTCATATGAGTAAAGAGTTTACTGTTTTGTCCAAATATAACAGAGATACACTTCGGATCTTCACCAATCTTTTTCATCTAAAATTTCTTTTATGATCACACACGAAGACATATGTCCAAGAGGTCTCTGATCAAACCAATCAAGACTTAGACATATCAACAATCTGTTTTAATGATCTAACATCATGAGACCGTGATGAAAGTGAAATCCAAATTTCTTGCAAATTAAGGAATTGACGGGGAACTATGTTCTAGACTTTACGAAACTTTTGTTTTAGTACCTATTTTCAAAACTCCAAATTATATTCATTTCATATGAGTGTTCTTGATCAAACATTTGAAACCTACGGTGTTTGTTACCCAACAAGATCTAGCACAAATTTTTTCATGAATATGATTTCTGTGTGAGTTTACTTCGAATCCCAAAGTTACATTCAATGTTTTTCAAAGCATACTTGTCACTGACTACACTGGTCAAACAAGTAATTTCTGTTACAGTTACTCACCTTATGTTAAGGCTAATATGTAACGGAATTTATTAAGCCACCTATGTAGCCTTACAAAAGAAACCCTTCGAAACTTCTCTACAAGTTTTCGATTGTAATTCATGGGAACATACACAAGCTATTGATCATCTCTCTTGATGATTAACGAAGCAACCTTTGCCCGGGGTTTAACTGCATTTGTGTCAAATTAACTTTTTGACATCACAGAATCCCAATTTTTTTTCCATTGTTTCTTGTCTTACTTTCTTTGGAATACTTCACTCACGAAATCCTTGAGGTTCTGAGTAACACCAACTCAGGCTGATGATTTCAAACATTTGGCATATGACTTTACTTTTCATCCCAAAAGTGAAAGAGCTTAACTTCCATCCGAAGGGTTCTGACGGTTACAATTCCATTGGGTCAATAAATACAGGCTATTTGAGGAGACATTTTATATTACTTCCGATTTTCAAGGCGATGTGACAGTTACTTTTTGACGCATGGTTACTTTATCATCATCATGATGTGCTTTTCTTGGTGACACGTCAGCAAGCATTAAATGCATATCCCACTTTGATTTCAAATTGAAGAGTTACATATAAAAGGGAATTCAAGGGTTCATTATCAGTTTATGCTTTCATCTTACTTAAGTTTCTCTAATAATCATCTACTTTTAAACCCTAAAAATGGTGACTGCAATTCCTGATGCTACTCTTTCTCACACAACTGATGATGTTACTTCTCTGCCGATCATGAAGATTCAGGGTACTAATTACCAGGTTGAATCCAATGTTTCTCTGTATCCTGAAGAATTGAAAATGCTGGTGGTTGCTCTGCAAAACTCGGTATTATCAAAGGCCATGTTCAACTCATTTTCTGTTCCTTTTTCTTGGTTATCTCAAGCTGGTTCAACTGCAACTTATTCAAAAGCTTTGGAAGCTGTTACATTCAACCTCATCAATGATAAAAAGGTTAGATTATCAAAGAAGTTTTTTTTGCCAAATCCTTGCCATTCCTAATTCACCACCATATGTTACTTTTATCTTTTCGCAAATCATACATATGTTCAATGAAATGAGTCATCAACCCCAATTGACAAAGATTAGTGACTTCAAGAAGTCAGGGTTACCAAGTGTATGGAACTTTCTGTATGGGATTTTTCTTCGGTGTTTAACTGGCAGAATGGTTAGGCTAGATAAAGGAAGAATGGAGGTGTACACCATGGTTGCAGGGTTGTACTATAATCTTCAAGTAGATTACTCCACACAACTATGGAAGGAGTTTTAGAAGAGTATCGAAAACACGAATGCTATTCATGGCATTTCATGTGCTCAATATTGTAGTTTGATTCTGAAATATTTCTATGAAAAGGAAGGAATTTTAGTTCCAGCAGAAGAAGAAAAGGATGTGTTTCATACTTATGGATGTCCGAAGGATGCTACAGATGACTCAGATGTATTCCCTTTTACTGCTCGTATCCCTGATGCTATGCTAAAAAGGGTTGATTCTACAAATCCTGTATTGATTACTTATTTGAAATCAATAGATTCTTCTATGGAAACAGGTGTTCTTTTTCCACAAACCAATGAGAAGAAGTCAAAGAAGTCGAAGAAAACTGACGCTGGGTCTTCGGGTACCAAGGTGAAGCCAGTCAGTTCTTCTAAAAGTCCAAAGCAGGTTCCTATTATTGAAGCCGAGCCAATCCAACCAGAGCCTATTGTTGCTGATACCCAGTTAACTGAAAAGGAAGTTATTCCTTCGAAGACTGGTGTATTTATAAGAATCAAAATGAAATTGAAGTCAAAGCATAAGGGACGATCCTCTCTTACGAATATTGTTCACAAACCTCAAGTTTCACATCAAGGGATAATTTTTCTTGAAGTACCTGCTCCTGCTTCACCGTCTTCGAAAAAGCGAATAGTTGCTGACATGGCAAAACAAATCTCAAAGAATAACAAGCGTAGGGTGATTCTTACCTCAGAATCTACTGCCGACGAGGGTGAAACTATTCTTGAGACACCTGAGGCAGATTTGATTAAAGATTCTTCTCAACTAGATACCTCAGTTAGTACACCACCCAAAGTTTTGATTGCTAAAATAGTCACTGTGGAGGCACGAACTTCAGACATCTCTGTAAACATATCTGATATGGATACAAATGTCATCATGGGTGAGGACGATTCGAATAAAGCAGCAAAAGGTAACCTTTCGAGTGTTGTTTCATATTCTTTCATTTCTTTACCTCAACAGATTACTCCCATTGTTCCTATAACATCCACCACTGATTCTCCAACCTTTGCAAACATTATTTCACAACCTTTCACAACTCTTTTTTCTTCACAAGCCACTGATCCACCAACCACTACTTCTCCGATAAAAGATTCATTCATAGATACGGAAAATGAGTCTGAAGGTTTTGGGGGAAGTTTTGAGAATCTGGAGTTTGATGAAGAGGAAACAGGCTTCCCATATCATATGCTCATGATGATGAAACAATTCAAAATCTTGAATACGAAGCTCAATTCGATTATTGAATCTCAAGCTGATCTAGGGGCAGGTCATTATGTATCAAGTCTTGAAGTTGATGGCATGTTGTCCTTACTTGAAGCAAGATTAACCACAAAATTCTCTATCATGTTGAAAGATTCAGAGTCTCATTTATTGGAGAAGATTGATCATTGTGATCAAAATAATGAATTAAGAGTGAATTCTCAGAAGTTTGGATTTGCATCTGACTTGAAAGAATTGCAGACGGTTGCAAAAGAGAGGCATGTGATGTTTGTTTAGGATGTAAAGAAGGTGAGAGAAGATGTAAATTTCAAACTTCAGGAACTACGCGAAGACATGGAGAAAGAAATATCGGTTGTTCGCAATGAGTTTGATTCCATCAACAAAAAGGTGGATATTATTTGTGATGTAGTTACAAAATTTGCAAGGTTATACGAAAGTCTGAGCCCTCAGATTACTCAGCTTTCAACTAATGATAACAAGAATTTTATGGAGGTGTTCGAACTCTTGAAGGAGCTTAAAAGTCTATCTTCAAAGCCTACTGTGTCTTTGCTATCTTCGGAAGATTTGATCCAGAAATTTTCCAAATTTGAAGAACTACTTGTCCAACACCTAGCCCCTTTGTCATGAATCTCCAGTCTTCTTCCAACTACTTATGTCCCACCTGCTAGCATAGGGGTTCAAGGGGGAGGAAAAATATTTGCAGGTTCGAAGACTGGAGGAGAGGATTCGAAAATAGTAGGGAAGGTATTTTCTTCGAAAATCCCAACAACAAAACCGATAATGGCAACAGTTGGTCAGATCACTTCAACAGTTGTAACAACTGTGCCAATCACGAAACCGAAAGGAATTGTGATTGGTAAAATTGGAGACATTGGTGGAAGTGCTTCAAATCCTAGAGATAATGTTGTCTAGTTTGGTTCAAAGTCAAAAGGTAAAGAGATTCTGATAGAAAAATCCAAAGAGGAAAAGAAAGCAGAGGCTGAGGCTGAGGTTGAGAAAATGAGAATGATACAAAGTATAATGACTCAAAGGGCCAGTGATCCTCCGGGCTTGAATAAGGGTGATCCTTCGAAGCATTACAATTACGAAACGATTGAAGCCAAGGTTGCATTCAATCGCATGTACGCATTTGAGAAAAATCCCAAGTAGAGTTACCTTGTCACAAATACAGATGCAGGCCAGCTGGATTTTCCTATAAACGAGATGATGTTTATCATGCCTCAATTTAAAGCTGAAAGCAAATTTAAGGAAAAGGATGAAGGAACACACATGAAGATCAGATTTCATGCTGTTCTTGCAAAATCTGATGAGGAGGTGTGGTCTTTGACGAAGATCAAGAAAGTTATAAGTATAAAGAAGGATGCAGTCTTTGAAGACACAATCCAAAATTTGAAGTACGCGGTGGTAAGGGCGAATGGAAAAGTGTGTGAATTTATAGTTGCTGACTTTCCATTGATGAACTTGTATGATCTTATACAAGTTGCATTAATTCTTAAGGAAAGGTCATTTTCTTATCGACAAAACACTAAGCCGAAAGCGGTTAAGCTGGGAGTTACTCACATCAAAATCTTCATTGAAAATTATTACAAATGTCTAGCAATGATAGATGTGGAGTTAGCTACAGTGAAGGGTCTTGAAATCACTGCTCCAATGAATCCTTCGAAGACAAACGCAAAACTTAAGAAATATACTGATGGGGAAATATGCTTGAAACCTTTTGGTTTAGTCTTTTCTGGGAAGGACAAGTCTGGAAGATCTAAGAAGTTTTTGTTTCAAGCAAGTGAAGTAGAAAGGTATTCAACTTCGCAATATACGAACTTAATTATTCGTGTGAATCATTGCAAGAAGAATAATAAAGGAGATAAGAAGGAGTTGAAAAAGATAATCAACTGGTATACAGAAATACGAAGAGTTATGTTGTATTCAATTCAACTTCTTACAAATTGAAGTCTTCAACTCTGTTTACAAAGGGGGAGATTGTAAGGGTATTTTGTGTTGTAATGAGTCGAAGTCTTTTGTACTCTTCGTATGGTTTATAATGTATTTTACTAAGGCAGTTTTATTTGAAGCTTAAAGTGTTTAGTCCTTAGTATATTTTTTGTACGCTTTTTTCTCCTATAAATAGGAGTGTTTACTAGAGTCATCGCAACGGGTCTTTTATAGAATAGTCATTTTGTTCTCTGTAAAACTTGAAAGTGTAATAAAACTGAAGTGAAAAATATTATTTACATCTGTGTTCTAATCTCGCAATCTTACTTTTATCATTAAACTCTGATTCATTTTATACTTGATTCATTGCTTCATCATGGGGTTTCCATGACCGTTTGAACATGTGGGCCGTGAGACGGAAGAGCAATAATGTTGAATACTACAAGGATTTTCATGATTTCGAATCCTGGACAAAAGTTGATCTTGCTGAACTCATTAACGCTCCGTTTGCGAATCCGTCAGGCAATCCTAAAGCAACTCACTTCAGGTTATTTCTGGAAGATCAGACAAAGAAGAGGTTTCCTGTCATGGAGACTGCTGAGTCTATCATCAAGCTATCCCCATATGTTATTGATCTGAAGACAGATAGACCTTTCAGAACAATGATGTGGCCTCCCACTAACCAAGTGAGGCAAGTTCCTGTGCTACAAAACTTTAAAGACAAGTCACTTGAAAACATGCTCTTCTAGATTTATGATGAAACAACGGCTACCGCTATCATCAAACTTCCAAATGGCAGTTTTCGTCTCTATGACAAAAATGGTCTGCTTCAATTTGGAAAGTGGGATATCCGTCACTTGTCTCTGCATCAAATTAAAGTCGCTGAGGAGATCTTCGAGCATGCTGCAAAGGAGTTCACTTCGATGGTGGTAAACATTATCCAAAAGGGAATGTGGAGTGGATCGATGGAGGGGACCGATGTGATGCTGGTTGATAAAGACTAAATCATTCTAGCCGCAAACCAAAGGGGAGATTGAAAGGTCAAAATATGTGGTTTGGGCTAGGCAATATATGTATAGATGAGATAGGGCATTTGAGATTGTTATTTGTAGTCTTTTCGGTATTTTTGGTGTTTTCGGTCTAGGAAGGTTCTCGGTTAGGGTGTGACCGAAAACCTGTTTTTGGTTTATGTTGGTATAAATAGGTTATCAGGTTGTCATTTGTAAGGAGTTGTTCACTGTGAGGTTTTCGGTCCATTGAGTTGTATCAGACGGTTTGTAGCTATAATCGTATGCAAGTTCAATTTTAATCACACTCTTCTACTCATCTTCTTCTTTATTTCATTTGCTTGATTGATCATTGGTGAAGATCCTTCCATCAAGGACCTTACAGAGACGCATGACCAGAGGGTCCATGCCAAGGGAGGATTATTATTTGTGTTTGTGGTATTTTGGGGAACTCACTAAGCTTCGTGCTTATAGTGTTTGTGTAAAATGTGTTTCAGGTACACCTCAGGATCGCGGGAAGGCGTCGACTTGATTGTACACACCAACTAGAGTCTATGTTGTTTAGAGGATTCTGGGATAATGTGAAACATTTTATTGATTTGTGTTTTGAACAACTTATATATTTGGGTTTTGAGAAATGTGAGATTGTGATTTATGTGCTTTTAAAAATGAAAAATCTAATTGAAAATTTAGAGTGTTACATGCATGTTTGATCAGTTGGGTCTAATTTGTTGATTTTAGTTATATGTGAAATGAATTATTGATTACTGTTGGACTGTTGTGTGTCCATGTTACTCTTGATAGTCACCAAAATTGTTGATAATTTATGAGGTGTGTTGTTAATTCACAGGGCATGCCGTTAGTCTACTGGGACCGCTGATAGTCTCTAGAGTTACTGATAACCCTTAGCAGATTATTATGTTGTGTTGTAGATGGTATTTTGGGGAAGTCACTGGTTTATGTGTTTATGGTTGTAGATTAAATGTTTTAAAATCTACAGTTTTTTACGTGATTTTTTTACAAAAATCCATAGCCTCCATCCAATATTGAAAATTCAAAACCAAGAGTTTCAATCTTATTGTTCTAGTTTTGTGTCAAAATTCAAAACCTTGTTGATTCAACACCTTATGATTTTATCTAATACGGAAAGCACCTATTTCATGAAATCAAGAAATTAACTACTAACTCTACAAACATGTATCAAATAATCGATTGAGGATCTTGATAATAATCTAACAGCACACATTTTTTTATGGGTTGATGCCAAGAACTACAACTCAAAACAAACCAAAAAGCATCTTTATCAAACAACAAAAATCAAAGCCACTCAATAAAAAAATCCCAATAACCGAAAAAAAACGATGGTCTATATTTCACTAAAAGAACCCCAATTCCAAATTTGTTAAATAATTCGTTTCGAACTTCTCCACTCTGGTAACTGTTATCCTATTTGTGTCATCGATTTACAATGCAAAACTGATGATGAAAAGATGTATCGTCTTCTTTAAAAAAAAACTACTTTAATTCTAATAATAGTGATTATTTCTCTCTAAAAGTAGTTGAGAGTTTCCATACGTATGATTTTTCTTCTTAATTAATTTTTTTTTTGATCCGGCAAGAATTTTATTAACCAAACTACGCAAGATGCCAAGATGGAATCTTCTTAATTAAACAAATTAAATTGATGGTATATTTGTTCATAAACTTTTTTTTTGGACGGATTAAAAAACAACGTGGATAAATCAACACGCTTTGCATTTTGATCACTATGGTATCTATGTTTAGCAAAACCAAATCACAAAAATATTTCCATTTTTAATTATGTTATAAGATTTGAGATTTGAAGTTTCTGTTCAAATCATTAATATATTTGGATCTGTTATATTATTAATTTTTAATTTTAATATAAATTAGAACTAATACCAAATAAAATACTTCATACTTGTAAAATACAATCATACTAAAGTACAATCTCTAGAACCATGATTGGGTAACTCACCAGTTAATGTTTAAATAATTTTTATTTATTTCTAAGTAATAATCTATAGATGGTTGAATAAGTTCTTAGGAAAGCGTCCACACTATTGAGGAAAGCGCCAACACTTTGCATGTATTAATCTATACAGAAGGTGATAAAGTCGTCTGTACTACGCTGAGTGTTTCCCCTTCAAAAGTAATATATAAGCGAGGCTGATAAACCGGTAAAAAAAGAGAAAAAAAAAAACCCTCTAAAACGTAAACCTTGGTGAATTATATATAATGGGCGACTTCCAAGAAAGCAATATCTTTCAGTATAACCAAGATTTTGATGAAGACCTTGCAGAAGTCCTATTTAATGGACGTAGATCTGCTCCATTCATATCAAGCAGTGACTGTCTTTGTTATGTCACAGAAAACGAAGATATGGGACAGCACACAAGTAGACTTCGGTTTATTTATAACGCTCCTTTTGATGTCTTTGGAGACAATCATCTCAGTGGAATTGGTAATTATGGTGGTGCTAACGGCGGTGCTGGGGCTGGTATTGGTGGCGGTGTTGGGGGTGGTATTGGTGGCGGAGCTGGTGAAGATGGAGGTTTGGCGCGAAGAGCAAAATTGTGGAGGATGTTTTTGGCTTGGTCTAAAAAACTAAGAAAGAAACATAGACGCCATTGTAGAAAATAAAATAAAAATCTTAGGATATATGTATTTATGTTACGTGTGTGGGTTGATATTGGATTATTGGCGTGTTTGGCGAAAGTAGCTGTTAACTGGAAGCGGTTAGCGGGTAGCGGATAGCGTGTAGCTGGTAGCTGGTAGCGGAAAACTGGAACTTTTACTTGTTATATGAGTGTTTGACAAAAATAGTTAGAAGCTTTTAAAATATATAAAATTACATAAAATGACAACAAATTAAAAATATATAAATATATAAATATATTTTTAAGGGTAAGTTAATTTCAAAAGCTCGTTTTATTAAACGCTAGATGAAGTAGCTTTTAGATTCGGAGCGTTTTGTTTAAACTAAATGCTAAACGCTCGTATGGCCAAACGAAGTTTTTTGTTTAAACTATAACGTTTTATCAAAAACTAAAAGCTAGAAGCTCTCAAACGCTTCCAAAAGCTCCATCTGAAACACGCCCTATAATTAGACATAAATTCTTTGCAATTAATGTGGTTGATTTATAAGGAATAGTGTGGCTTTTTAAACAACAATATTCTGTAAAAACTGATTCTAACTCAAACTAAATTCTTCAGCAACCTCTACATTACTAACTTGTACCAGAAAAAAATCTGTTCAAATATTATAATTTATGAACATATTCTTTTAACACAACCTCTACATTGCTAAATCCTTTGTTATATAATGAGACATTGGAGATTGTATTCCCGTTTCGTGTTATGAAACTAAAGGAAAAAGTTGGCCTGGTATAAAAAACTAAGACATAAAAATCTTAGCCACAACGAGAAAACAAAAAATAAAAATCATACATAGATAACGTGAACAAGTTGATTTTTGATTACGTAGATGTGCTTTGTTTAGTTATGAATATGGTTCAAATTGGATTATAATAAGACTAAGACATATGTAATATATATTTTTAGAAAAGTCGTGAATCGTAAATAATAAATTTTCCAATTATTAGGAAACGTCAGTATACAAAGTAGAAACTGATGTCCATGGTTATTATAAAGGGAACTGATTTATCCGACAAAGTTTTTTATCCCCCTAAATGGACTAAGATTTTTATCCATCTAAATAAAAAAAATTGTGTTTGAAAATAATTCTCTTAATTTTAATTACTACATTACATAATAAAGTGAGAAAAACCTAGCATCCTAGGTTGGGAAACTCAAAGGAGACATGCTGATTGAGATTTGAGATCCATGTGTTATATGTTTGTTGAAAAAAAATATGAAGCTCTAACAATTTAAAGCATTTAAATTTATAAGAAAAAATAAAATGTTTAATTATTAAAATTAAATTGTTTATTTACTTTTTAAATTTAAATTAATAATTTAAGTAAATAAACACATAATGTAACATCCATAAAAATCATGTCAAATTTAAACTTTTTCAAAACATAGTAATTAAACCATTTAACATTACAAATATTGTATCCAAAATAGTAATTATCAGCGTATCCCAGTATTAAATCATAAAATCATAATAGCCAGAGGAGCGGTATGATTATGCTTTGGCCTTCCCACGATCACTAGAAGTACCTGAAACAATAATCGATAGATGTAAGCTCGATGGGTTAGTGAGTTACCCCCAAAATACCAACCATCAAACCGATATAACCATATCATATAACATATAAGCAAAAAGATACAACATGCATAATGAGCCATCATTTTGACTGGATCAAATCCCGGTCCTCAGTCTATCTAAACCGCTCTCCGAGCCCTCGGCACGTCTGGACCGCCCTCCTCGGGGCCTTGAGCCTATCCGAACAGCTCACTGGGCCTTTGCCCAGACTAGATTTGCCCGGCCCAGGCTTGCGGTCTACCCGGTCCGCCCAGGATGTCTTGGCCTACTACACACAGCTGGACCTGCCCCAACCCTTTCCCCCCAAACCAACAAACATGTGCGCATATATATATATATATATATATATATATATATATATATATATATATATATATATATATATATATATATATATATATACATATATATAATTAAGCATGTAGATCTAACATATCACTAATCATGGCAACCATCCTATACCCAGGATACCAGTCTAACCGATCACTAACATAACAACCATCCTATAATCATGATACTGATCTAACCGATCTCTAACATAGCAACCATCCTAATGACCAGGATGTAAATCAATAAACATATCATGCAATTAACTCGGATGCAAATCCGATAAGGGCTGATATTGGTGCCTTAAACCCTGTTGATATAGTGAGGATAACTCACCTTGTAGATAATGTTGAAATACAGAAAATCTCTGACTGTTGTCTCACCGGGAATCCTGAACTATTTCAAAATAAACACTAGGTTAATACTCAAAATAACCTTCTTGACTAAGCGTCCACATAACTTATTAAGTTCATTCCCCTTGTTGGGCCAAAGCCCAACACCGATTCCTTGGCTTGAAAGTCCATACACATAAGTCCACTATTGGCCCAATTTACTCAATTGGGCCTAACCCTCTTATTGGGCCTATCCCATGATCCACTATAACCACCTGGCCCAATATTTCATTTACAGAGTCCACTAAAGTCCCAATTCATTTTAGTCCATAAACAGCCCAAAACTCGAAGCCCATTTATCAAAAGCCCAACATGGGACGTACGTGGGGTGTACTCCTCTAGGTACGCGGGGCTTACTCATCCAAATCGCTGACCACCATCTGGATGGTCGACCCAGTAAGTTGGGCGTACTGGATTTTACGCTGGGCGTACTGGATAGTTTGCCAAATCTTCATTAAGTGCTTAATGGCTTAAGAACTTTAACCCAAACTTCGGATCCAGAGGCCTAACATGCCTAGGATCCATAAGGTCGTGAACTTTGTCACTTTGGATGTCTATAAAGTTCTAAATGGTTGGTCTTAATCCATTAAGACCTTATCCTTCCATGCATGGGACACAATCAGCTAATGGGACCTCATTTTTATCACTCAAGGCCCATTCAAGAGTTCAAAAGGACAATTTGTTACTTCCAAAACACAACATGCACTAACTTGTGGTTTTTAGGATAAGAAATGGGTCTTTTAAAGCAAAAATGGAGAGATCTAAACATATAGACAAAAACTTTGGAACTTTATACCTTTTGGAGCTTCTTGTGCACGAAATAACTTCAGATCTACAAGCTTGGTCACTTCCTTCAACTATTTGATGCAATGGTTTCCTCTTAAACACTCAAGAACACACCAAATGAGCTAAAACACACAAAGGGAAGGATAGGGTTTTAGAGAGACGAGTTGGATCTGTAGAGGCTGAGGTAAAAGGGGTGTTGGTGCACATTATGTTGCTTTTATAGGACCCAAACCCTAAATATTAGGGTTTTCATTCCTGACGCTAGTACGCCCAGCGTACACAAGTGTACGCCAAGCGTACTAAGGCGGACCCTTATACGCTTAGCGTACTCCTATGTAGGCGCAGCGTACCCTCCCTTTTGGCCCAAATTGCAACCTTGGCCCTTAAACTTGTCTTGGCTCTACATTCTAAATCCCATGGACTATAATCGACAAAGTAATGATAGAAGAGGGTTTGGAAATACCTGCAATATCTCGGGATGTTACAATTAAATAACTGTATTCAGTTTAGAAATTTAAAAATTATATGGAAAGTTGCATTAATGAAATTGATATAAATTTATTATTAAATTTAAGTATTATACAAAATTTAATAAAATGAAAAAACCACAAAATGAGACATTTGTATAATTTAATTTAAATTTACCACAAAATGACATATAGCATAATGCATAAGAGGATAACAAGTGGCAAAACTATTTTCAATTATGAACCTCTTATACTAACTAGGAGTGGTTGTTAATGTTGTTGTTGTTGTTGTTGTTTGTTATTGTTGTTGTGTCGTTGTTTTCTTTTAGAAAGCAATTAACCTTTTATTAAATGCCAAAAAAAATATGGCACTTCACATTGTTTAAATAGTAGCAATCTAAATGAATTACAATAATGATTTCGGGTAAACTTGTTGTCCTCACCCATATAACTATCATCATGTACAATTCGAAGGCCTCTTGGATCAGCAAACACATTTTCCAATACAATCCAAAAATGAATGAAATGAGCAAGGTGATTGCATGAATTATTACATTCTGTTGTCATATTTGGTGCTCTTGAAAAATGGATTTTACTTATAATTTGAAAAGTAAATAATATTAAACTGGATATTATAATAACAAAGGTACATTACATTTAGGATGATAATCTATGTCATTACATTCAATCATTCTATGCCTAGAGGACAAACAAATGTCATTTTTCCCTTCCATTATTCCATAATGCTTCACTCCATTCCCTATTCGATTATTGCATATCTCTTGCATTGCTCAAGAAGTCAAACCCATCTAGTCAGGTCAGACGCTGCAAAATTACAATTAACATCGCCAGATAGAACACCAAATAATATGTCGCTATGAGAAAAATCGATGTAGTAACACAATATCACGTTACCAATTTGCTTCGAGTGCTTGTTTAAGTCAATCAGAAATATGTTTTTTAGTACTTTCCCTATTGACATTCCCATCAGTACCCTCATCAAGACTAAGAATGAGAATTGCTTCAAAAACTAAAAGAGAAGTGGTACCACGATATAGAGAGGTATAAAGGGGAGATGTGTGAAATTTATTGCTATAAGTCCTTCGAAGAAGATATTGTGTGTAGGTGATAACATTTATGGAAGGTCTCTCAAGTAGGAAGGATGATAAACTACCTAAAATTGGAATAGGCATGGTAAGTATATATGCTAAGTTATGACACAAACCCATATTTTGGAGTGTAAAGTTTGTTGTAAAATAAAGCACATATAAATAAAATGGAATTGCTTACATTTTCACTTTTCCACGGAATTTTTCTTCCATTTTCTCCAAATAAAGAATACCAAACCCATGTTTAACAACATCACACCACGTTGTTGAGTTCTTTTACTTTTAGAGTATCTTTAATGGACTCAAAATTCTTCTTTATGTTAACATATTC